TCTTCTTCTCCTTCTCCTTCTTTCTTCTCCTTATCATCCTTATTCTGTCCCTAATGAAGCCAAGAAAGAAAAGAATCAGAGCATGAATCTTCCAGAGCAAGAGCAAGAGGGCATGTATAAGAGATCCCATATCGGTTGAGGAGGAGAACGAAACATCCTTTATAAATATATAGAAATTTTTTTCTAGCAGATGTGTTTTAAAAACGCTCAAGGGGAAAAGCCCGAAAGGGAAAGCCCAAAGAAGACAATATTTGTTAGCGGTGGGTTTGGACTGTTACAAATGCTATAAAAAACAGACACTGAGCGATGTGCTACGAGGAGGCTGTTCCCCGAAAGGGAAAGCCCAAAGAAGACAATATCTGTTAGCGGTGGGTCTGAGCAGTTACAAATGATATCAAAGACAGACACCAAGCAATGTGCTAACGAGGAGGCTGTTCCCCTAAAGGGGGTAGACACGAGGAGGTGTGCCAACAAGGACGCTGGGCCCAAAAGGGGGTGGATTTGGTAGGGGTCCCACATTGATTGGAGAAAGGAACGAGGGTCAACGAAGACGCTAGACCCTGAAGGGGAGTGGATTGTGAGATCTCACATCGGTTGGGAGGAGAACGAAACATTCTTTATAAGGGTGTAGAAACCTTTCCCTAATAGATGCGTCTTAAAAACCTTGAGGAGAAGCCCGAAAGGGAAAACCTAAAGAAGGCAATATTTGTTAGGGTGGGCCTTAGTTGTTACAAAAAGTTTATGATTACAAAAAGTTTCTAAATCATAAACTGCAACGGAATGAGAGATTGAGGGGAAAATGTCTTACCTTGAGAGATTCTTCACGCTTCTCAAGGAAGTCCAGTTTTGTAAGCCCTGTTAGAACACATACCACCAACAAGGATCCATCAGCAGGTGACTAACAGAAATAGCATCGGCATTGAATTGGTTGAGAGGGAGTAATTCGTATCATCCCAACGAACCTGACTCGGGATTCCATTGAACTTTTCGTTTGCTCCGCAACTTCCCTTTGAAACCTGAAAATTTAACAGTAGAGTGAGTATCTACAATCATGGAGTGGCCCCATAAAGAAAGGATTGCAGTAATAAACAGATGATCTTAGTATAACTCTCATCCATCTCTGAGAGATCTTAGATTGCAAACCTTCAACCAGTTCTTCAGGAAAGTTCCTCGAAGTGAGCTGTAGAATTTGTGCAAGGGAATCGCGCTTCAACGTACTATTTGACTTGGCTCTATCAGAAAATCTCTCGATCTCAATTTTTTGCATCTCTGATACAATAATATAAGCAGTGTACAAAATTACCAATTTTTTTGCAACAAAATGTTTAAGACAGAATGGCAGTAAAAACGCTTTACAAAAGAGAAAAAAAAAAAAAGTAAGGAACACTAACTTTTCATGACATTTTCCTCTAGATAAAAAGGAGAGGCCTTCCAATAGTTCAGCAACCTGGAGTTACAAATAACCAAGCCTTTTGCTTCAGGTATATCACTGACGTTGGGTAGAGTTACATTCTGCAATTGTGCCAGAAAACATCTCCTTAGGAAAGGAAATACAGGTAAGCCTAAAGGTATATGTTTCTACAATTTGATGCATATTATCTTCGAACTAATAATTCACGTTAGAAGTAAAAAAGAGATGCTAGAGACATAAAGACTTCATAAATTGAGAGATGGATATAAGAATATAAGATAACCAATAATCTACGATACTTAGCACCGATGACGTGATAGCTAAGTGCATGAAAGAAAAGACCTGCAAATATATGCTTATATAAACATGAGAAAAACCAAAGTCGATTTTCCTTTTTCTTTTTCTTTTTTTTGTGGAAAAAACCATCCTACTTATCCATGTGAGAACAAAAACCTTTAAGGGACAAGCTGCCAACTCAAATACCTTTAAGGTCATAGGTTCAAAACTTCAAATTATATTTGGTCACCATACAGTTAGGGTCAAAGTTAACCACAAAAGAAGTACAAGTTCAAAGAGAGAAGGAAAAAAGGATACCAATAAGTACAAAAATAATGTACTACAGATTTCATCAATAACCAACAGCCTTTGATTCATCTTTCAAACTATCTAAGGTTCATGCCTCGAATGTTAGCACCACAGTCACTCAAGATTTGGCAAATATAAGTGAAATAATGCATGTATTATTTACAATGTGCTAATTTAATCTCAGTCGAGCATCAGTGAAGTTTGTTGGCATATACCACCAGTCCACCATTGCAAACTAAGTGGAAGTTAGGACTTTTCTAGCTAACAGAACTACCCACCTCTGGGAAAAGCTCGAAGGGTTCTTGCTTGGCATACTGAAAGGATCCACCACCACCTCGTCCTCGCCCTCGCCCTCTAAATGCCATCCCCTGAGTGTAGAACAAATGAGAAAATTACTCAAGGGACAATACAAAAAGGAAGTCTAATCTCAAATGTCTATTATCTTACATCTGAATAATCGACGGAGTTGTTTTCATCATTTAATGGAGAAGGTCAGTATGATTCAATACCTGGAATTCCTTAAACCTTCTTGATGCCTTGCTCAAATTATGGCTGAAACAAACAAGAGTGCTCCCTAGCACGATGCTACACTACACACATGTCCTGAGAAGAACAAAGATGGAGATGGCAACATACTGATTTTCAGAAAACTTGAAATTGAAAGCATACTGAAACTCATTTCATTAAAATGTATTCAGAATCATACATCTTAAACACTCCGTTTATCCCTGTAAACAACAGGCTAGAGAATTTTCAAAAACATGAAGACTAATTTCCTAACCAAAATCAAAATCAACGATAATACTGAAAATTCGCCTAACAAGAGTGAGGAGGAGGACTTGCCTAACAATAGTGTCTTCTTTCCTCTGGCGTTTCGTAGCCAAGCAAAGAACATTATAGTTCATACAAAAGAATGGGAAATTGCCAAACAATATTGGAGGACGAAGAGACTATACATCAAACCATTTTCATGTAAAGGGAAATGCTCAAATAATCTATAAACATAGTTCATACAAAAGAATAGCCATGATGTGGAGCCTTGAAAAGTGATAGTCATTTGAAACAGGTTGTTGTTAAACTATAAGTCTAGTAGTTGAACATATTTATGTCTAACAAGTTCATGGTTGTGTTACAATCCATTCCAAACCACATTCTGATTGATTGCCTTACAATTCATTCAACATCTACCATATCAATTGTCTATCATCTTAGACCTCCATTATATCCACTGAAACTCAAAGAAAAAAGAATATGGAAAAGATAAGCAAACTAGTTTTTCTGAGTTCACTAATTCCAAGTAATATGCATATCACTCACAAAGCTAAACGTAATCTGCATGTAAGAATCAATTTTAAGCAGCTCTTTGTTCCTTCACAGATCAGAAAACTTGCAATAAGATGTTAGATACAAATGATGGCCATCATGCATGAGATACAAAGCTATACTAAGAAAAAAGAACTAAATCAAAATTATTCAGAGGCCTATTAAGAATGATACCAGTCATTATGTGTATCTTAAAAATCTGGTGAACGTGTTTAAGCAACTGACAACTTTCTGCAGGATTGGTAGTATGCGAAAGAACATGCATCTTCTCTTTCAATTCATTCTCTATAGTCATTAAGTAATTCAAGTCATTCTACATTGAAGAATATGTCTACTAATAGACATGTAAAACAAACGAAATTGAAACACCACAATCAACCCATCTAACATCGAAATTTTAATGTTCAAAGTTCCAACCATATGATAGCTAGAACACAGGAATCAAAAGGATGCAACAGCACAATGTAGCTCCCCTACACAAAAATTGCTCAAAAAACCATTCATAGGATTCAATCAATTGATAGAAACTCCTTATTTAGAGGTGAAATTCTGCAAGCATGCGCAGCTATCTCCAACTCTTTTCATTTTCCAAATGAGTTAGAGGTCCGAACAAGGCTAAAACACAAGCTCCTAGAACAATCGGCCACTGACCCAAGCCTTACGAATTCAACAGGAACAATCAATATCTTAACTCACTCAACCATTCGAAACCTCCCTTCATCGAAATCAACATAAATTCAACCACAAAAAAAAAAATAAAAAAAAAATCAATCTCTCTCTGTTGCCATCGGGATTCGTAGAGTACCTGCACTCATTGTGGAAACTCCTGACAGCTCCGAAATTTTCATTCGTATCATACGGACCGCCAAGCAACAAACTAGCTTGATTGACCGTCGCCGGTGATATACTAGTGGGTCGAGATGAAGGGGATTTGGGAAAGGAAAGGCGGGGAAGTTTGAAGGAGAGCGAGCGGGGAAAGAAGAGAGGCGGAGGAAGGAAACGGAGAGTTGAGAGGTGCGGCACATCGGCCCCATTATCCACTTCAATCCAACCCATGTGAAGGCCCACTAATTAGGGTTTTAGGTCCTAAACTCTACTAATATTGACTTAAAAAATTAGAGGTGTTCGTCGGTTAAGTAGGGTTGGGTGACTATGAACTAAAACATTAAGTAAAATATTGTCTCATACCTATCGAGAATCAATGCGACTAAAGTAAATGAGAAGTTATCTCTACATAAAACGATGAGATGCATAATCGATTCAACGAATGGTGACGAGATGTGTGATGTTCCTACAACTAATGGTGTGCAAACGACTTCGATTATCAAAAAATGTTCCCTCGAGGATGTAAAGACAAAGAAAGTGAAAGAATGAAACCAAAATAAGGCTTTAATATTTAGGGTATAGTTCGTTTTTAGTGTATTTTTTAAAATAAAAAAAAAACCATAAATATGAAACGTCACAAATGTAGATATGTTTGAATAGACAATCATGTAACAATACAAGTCCACTGTATTGTCCATTTTGAGTCATTGCATTGTTTAGTCCGCTTTAGTTTTTTCTTTTTATTTAATCAAAACCAAAAAGTGTCAGATTCCCATTACACAAAATTAAAAATATACCTAATAAATTAATTAATTTTTATAAATTTTGAATTTATTAACCGCTATTAAACAGAAAGTTTATAGACCTATTGAACAGGGATCTATTAAACAATTTTAAAAGTTTCGGAAGAAAATAGATACGAAACTTCTAATGAATGGTTTATTTTTATCTAGGACTGAACAATGATTCAGAGCCAATTGAATTATAAGAGAACTCCTCAATGTTTTTCGGTGGCATCTGTGGCATTTGTGGCATGGCATCCTGAACCATCTTCAAACATTCAATGAGCTGTGACACCACATGATTCATGTCTGGCCTTTCAGCCGGAGTTGACCGTGTGCACGACAGAGCCAACTCCACAAATTTTCCAACGGAACAACTTTCTGTGGATCCTCCTAACCTTGGATCAATAATGTCTTGGATATTGCCTTCTTCAATGAAAGGCTTAGCCCAGTCCACAATGTGGATGTTGTACTCGGAGCCCTTGATTATGGCAGGTCGCCCGGTCACCAACTCAAACAGGATGATTCCAAAACTGTAAACGTCACTTTTCTTGGTGAAGTTTCCAGATAAATGAATCCTGCAATGGATTTATATGTTTCGATTCTTATCAGATTGGACGCAACAAAACAGGAAATAGAGAAACTGACAGTTCCAAAATTTGAAATTTACTTGAATAGCGGAAATATCTATTTTGCGATTTTAGAAACTAAATAGATATAACTATCTAAGTTTAAGTACTAAATGTGTTCTATAATATAAAAAGAAGGTAATATACGTGGTTGCAGATGAGGGTCGCTGGTTGAGGATTGTTGGGAGAGGAGTCTCACGTCGGCTAATTAAGGGATTGATCATGAGTTTATAAGTAAAGAAATACATCTCCATTGGTACGAGGTCTTTTGAGAAAACGAATCATACCATTGCGGAGGTTCCTGAATCTTAACATGGTATCAAAGTCATGTCTTTAACTTAGTCATGTCAATAGAATCCTCAAGTGTCGAACAAAAGAAGTTGTGAGCCTCGGAGGTAGGTGTAGTCAAAAGTGACTCAAGTGTCGAACAAAGGATGTACTTTATATGAGGTCTCCAGGGAAGGAGTCAAACCTCGATTAAGGGAGGCTGTTCGAGGGCTCCATAGGTCTCAGAGGAGGCTCTATGGTGTACTTTGTTTGAGGGGAGGATTATTGAGGATTGTTGGGAGAGGAGTCCCACGTCGGCTAATTAAGGGACTGATCATGGGTTTATAAGTAAGGAAATATATCTCCATTGGTATGAAGCCTTTTGGGAAAACCAAAAGTAAAACCATGAGAGCTTATGCTCAAAGTAGACAATATCATGCCATTGTGGAGGTTCGTGATTCCTAACACCGCTAACTATCAGAATACTCATTTTAGTCTAGGAAAAAGAACCAATGCATTGATTGTTGATACTTACGTAGGGTCAACATATCCGAAAGTGCCTGCAGGACAGGTGGACAAATGAGTATCACTCTCATTTGCAAATACCCTGGAGAGTCCAAAATCTGATATTTTTGCTTGCATTCTTTCATTCAATAAGATATTTGAAGTTTTCATATCTCTGTGAATTATAGGTGGCTTGCAACCATTGTGTAAATATTCCAACCCTGCAGTTTGTTTACTAGATGTCACAATCTAGAAGAATGAACTGATAAGTTTTTGTGTTGATTGTATATACCTTGGGCTGCATCAACTGCAATTTGGAGTCTTTCCATCCAACTCAAGACCTTTGTGTTTGGATCTGTGTCAGTAAACGGGGGGAAAATCATCATATATAGTAAACCAACCATCAGGATACATACATTTTAGATCGATATCCTTTGTATGATAATATTATAATTACCGGATAGATGCTTGCGTAGATTTCCATTAGACATGAATTCGTAAACGAGCGCCTTATGCTCGGCCTCATCACAGTAACCAATGAGAGAAACCAGATTTCTATGATGAACAACGGTTAATATTTGAGCCTACATTTGCAAAATACATCAGAGATGAGTTCACTAACTACAAGGCTACAAGCAAATTTGAACCATAGAAAAACTGAACGAACCTCTGCTTTGAATTCATTGGGGCCTTGTTTTGAAGATGCAGACAGAAGCTTGATAGCAACTTGGGTTTTATCACTTAATGCACCATAGTACACTTTTCCAAATCCTCCTTCTCCAATAGTTGTTTTCAAGTTATCTGAGATAATAAGTATCTCAGAGTACCTAACTTGGCGGTTCTTCGATTTAAGTAACCGTTCTTCAATCGATCTTTTGAGATTCTCTGCACCAAGGAAAAAATAAACAGATTTTGGTACATTTACATCTATGGCGTCAATCATCACTCAGGGAACTCTTTACCCTGTTTGCCTCAGTTACATTGTCTTTACTTACAATATGCGGCAATTAGTAATCTAAAGATGTGTTCAAAACATATATAAGTTAAAGAAGCTAAAGAAATGAGAGATTTACCTCTTTGTTTTCTCCTTTTGTATATTACCAAAGCAACCATTAAGATAGGTAGGAGCACAGCTATTATACAGGAGATGATTATAAGGGCCAAGTACTTCTTCAGCTTGCTATAGCATTTAAGTGATGCACAAAGATCTGGATTTTCACCCACACTTGTACAAGCAGAAGAAAATGTCAAGTTTAACCAAATGAATTTTCCTTTATATTTTCTATTAATCATTTAATAAATCAAAACGTTATTTGATTTTTGATTTTCAATTCTTGAAAACTAAACTTATAAACACTACTACCACCAATGATTCGTTTGATAACTCTTTTTTACATATGTTTTCAAAATTGAGGCCAAGTTAAAGAAAAATAAATAAATAAATAAATAAGCAAATTTTAAAAACCAAAGTAAAGAAATTAGGAGGAAATGAGCATAAATTTCAAAAACGGAAACAAAAAACAAAATCGTTGTAACATGAGGCCTAAATTAGAAGGTGACAACATAGCAGTAAAGAAACAGGGAGAGTGAGAAACAGCTTAAGAATAAAGTGAGGGGAAATAAACTTAATTGGATAGCTAACCTTAATGTAAGTGATCCAGCTTCAGCCTTTTGCAATAGAACCTTAGGAACTGAGCCTGTGAACTTGTTCCTAGTTAAATTACTGCAAACGTAGTAAAGAGATAGACAACGTTAAAATTCTTCCTGGTATTTCATTTTCTGGATATCTGGATTGAAAATAAGAAGCTTACAGGGTTATTAAATTTGGCAACTTTCCTAAGAAATCTGGCACCGATCCTGTTAACTCATTATTGGACAAATCCCTGACAGAGAATATAATAGTAAGTTGGCATAAAATCGGTATTCATTAACTTTTCTTGTTATTTGAAGTCTTTATTAGGCCTGATTCCCTTAGATATAACTATTAAATAAAGAATATTTCAAAAGGGATGCTTACAGTGATGTTATTGATAGGAGATTCGCGATCGAAGCAGGAATTTCTCCTGTCAAGTTGCTTGAGCTCAAGTTTCTGCTTGCAAGACAAAGGAGAGAAACGTGGTGTTTAATATAACAGATGAATCACATGAGCATTGAACATTCTCCTAAACTACCAAAAGGAAAAATGATATGTGCCCCAAGAGTCCAGGACTGATACATGGGCTCTAAGTTTGAGAAATTTTCATCTACAACACAACATGAAATCAAACGTACAATTCAAATGTACGCTTTGTGGCAAAATTTGATGTATTAAGAGTGCACTCACATTGAGAGGATACTCGATGCATTACTGTTGCTGCAGGTTAAACCAGCCCATATTAATTCACTTGGAAAACATGGGTCACCTTCCCAGTTTCTGATCAATCTGAATGCTTGCTTGACACCCATCATAGCATCGGCTATTGTTTCCAATGGCAAATAGAAGATCAAATGACAATCAGGTGTGAGCAAGATGATAAAACAGGATGATGCCATATTCATAATTTTGAGACGACTCTTCCTAAGTTCAGTAATGTGAAATTATCACGGGTCAGGAAAGATGATTCTAATCTACCAGCTTATCTGGTAGTATCCTTTCTTAGAAACAATCAGTCAATGTGGCTCCAGCATCCTAAATTATAGCGAATGCTCACACATAAAATAACATTAGGAATTAAAGAAACACAGACAAGAACAAAAGATATATACCATCTTCAGAAACAGTTGATGCATTTTGCATCTCTTTTGCAGAATATATCTCAAAGCCATTCAGTATGGGAGGGAGGTCTGATCCTTTGGCAGCAGAAATTGAAAACTGCAGTTGGCCTGCACTATCTGGCATGGCATTTAGACTGAGAGATAGGGGCTTCAAATAATCAAGTGTAGCATTTGTTGATGCACTTCGTTGGCCAGTCAAATCAATCTTCAATCTCCTCTGTTTCCCTTGAAGCTTTTCAATCTCAGCAAAGTGGAAGTAAACATAAAACTGTGAATTGGAACGTAGGGAATCCGAGAAATAGCTCAAGGAGCAAGTGGCATTCTGTTCCTTTGCAGCAGTTCTCAACAATGTATCTGGTATTTTGTACGCATCATTATTTCCCTGGCTTATGCTAGAGTTTGTGGCACTGAAATTCAGTAGGTCAACGTTCAGGGGGTTCCAAATTCGATCATAAACATCGGCCGGGTATCTAGTTTAAAAAATTGCAAAAAGTCAACAACTTCAAAAACATTACATTGGTCCTGTAACATCAATTAACTAGAACTCAGTTTATTACAAAGAACATGAAGAGCTGAACTAACTCAACAACGCAAGTTACCTTAAAATCGATCTGCCACCAATGTCGGAACGCTGCATCGTGATGAGTGCCTTGGCCGTGGTTCGATAAATGGTATTATCTAGAGGTCGCAACTCCAATGCTGAAATGTAAGGCACCCCTTTGCTAGTGTTGAAAAGACAGACATTAATGTAATCTGTGGAAGGGGTATAGATGGTCTCTACATATCCGTTGTCCCAATCCACTGTCCACCACAGATTGGCCCCAAGGTATAAATCAAAAATAGGGGTAGTGTTCTTTCTATCATAATTTCCATATAGAAACGAAGCTCGAATCAAGTAAGTGTTGTCCTTTCCTTTTTCAGGCTTAAGGACATAACAATTCCTTCTCCCTTCAGGAAAACTTCTCACATTTTTTAGCTGTACCCGAAGATTTCCAGAGTTGTTAGCGGTAACTGGCCGGCTGATTCCTGTATCTACGAAGTCTCGGTCTGATTTATACAAGATGCCGTTATCTATATAATCTTCATCCGCTCCACAGTCGATGCTAATGAAACCTAGTACAAGTGTTTGAGAGTAGGAATTCAATAAGATATGCATTTTCAATTCACAAGCAGAGATCCAAAAGGGAAAAAACAGATCCAAAGTGAATTAATTAGGTCCATAGTAGATATTTTCTTATATATGATGTTTAAGATGGAAAATTTCACATCAACAAATCCACTCGCTCAGTTTATGCACCCCAAAAACTATAAACAACTCTGCCTTAGCTCATGAAACCTTGAACCCAGTGTTCCATGTATATTTTTTTTCTCCAAACAAGTGGGATATTAGAATATGGAATGAACCGTTCAGATCATAACAGCAAGAGCCGTAACAACTAGAATCCGTTTACACTCTAGAAGAAAACAATGAAAGTAGAATAAAAAATCCGTCAAGAGAACAAACAATGAATGTAAAATTAAGAATCCGTCGAGAGAACTTATGCTAATCAAACAACTTACCTGAGGGGTTGTCTGATGCAAGATTACGACCGCCATATCTGTTGTATCCAGCAGCTTGTTTGGAGTTGCAGAGAATAGTCAACACCCAGAAGAAGATGAACCAAGATTTCAATAAAAGACTAATTATGGTGCTTGAAACTTGCCGGCCATTTCCAACGTAATCCATACTTTAAAGCACTAAATAAAGCAGGACATTGGCCAAGCAGAAATCCTATGGATTATGGACGTAGCCGAACAACCGATAGTGAAAGGAAAAAACAGATACTTCTTTGATCATTCTGGGTTCCCAAGTCTTTCCTTTCCTTTCCTTTCTTAGATTCTACGTGTGGCCATGGACGACATACCCAAGAAGAAGACAGAATAAAATAAAAAACCGCGTCTAAGATGAAAAGATATGGTTAATTTCAATCAGAATAAAAACAACAGTCTTCTACCGGACTAACGAAAATACATTTTTTACAGACATCGAATTTACACGCTCACACATGCACAATAGAAAGAAAGAAATTCCCATGGAAATAAGCTTAATAACAATGAATAGGTCCAGATAAGTAACCGTGAGAGGGGAATTGACATGTGCAGAAGACTCGAAAGTCATCGCCAGCAGTGACGCAATAAATTTAAGCCAACGATGGGGTCCAGCGAAGAAGGAGGCTCACAAACACCTGTCCAACATCGAAACTTCAATTCAAAATCGAAAGGTCAGTTTTCGAGTCAAAGAGTATTAAGGGAATACGTCGATTACCAAAAATTAATTTGCAGCTCAAGAAATTTGACCCGAAAGGCCGGCAGCAACATACATTAGGGTTTGAAAATTCAACATCTCTGATAAGCCTGAGATTGATTTCTCTTCTACTTGGTTTTCCTCCTGATTTCTTCATAGCCACTGCTGTTTCGATCGGGAACTCGAAGAACAAGAACAAAACCAAGATTTAGACGTCAATGTCAATATCGGGAGAGCTTGAAGATTCAGAGGGGGAAAGTTCTTGTGTTCTAAGAACTGCGATTGATGGGCGTTTGGCGGCAAGGAGTTGGCTGCTTCCATTGATTTCAGCGAGAGACTCAACAATGATTAATTTTGAAATAAAATATTTTCTCTGAAATTTTAAAATAAAATTAGCTAAATTAGAAACAAATTTATTATATATTTATGCTATTTAAATATTATTAAGTTAAAAATAAACATGGTAAAAAATGAATATAATACCGTGTTAATATTTAATTTTCTTAAAAAAAATAATTATTATTTTATTAGCGGGATGTTTAAAAAACAATTGTTTCATATCTTAAGAACATTTATTTAATTTTTTTTATTTATTAATGTTACTAAAAATATTTAAAATCTTTCCATTTACATTATATGAGAAAAAAAATTGTAAATCATAATTTGGTTTTTGTTCTAATAAAAAATATAAAAATTAATAACAAATATATATGGTTTTTGTTTTTTAAAAAAATAGAAAATAAAATAAATATATATAAGTCAAAAAATTTATAAAAAATATTTAGATTAATAAATAATTGTATTTACTTCCCGAGTAAGTTATTGATATTGTCATCTATATTTATGTTCATATTAGAGATATTTGTTAATTTTTAATATAATATCAAACCTTCGGATTTATTGATATTTGATAAATTGACAAATATTTTAATTCTTTGAATAGAAAAAAAAAAAAACAGAAATTATTGGTATTAATGATATATGTTTTAAAAGTTAAAAAAATTATACATAAATCTCACAGTTAAAAAAAAAAAAAAAAAAAAAAAAAAAA